CAGCCGTGACCACGGCTGGGGCTGGGCTCTCCTTGCCCGGCCTCGCAGAGGATTGGCATTTCATCACCGGGCGAACGGGCCCCTGCTTGCATCTGGGCTGGGCTCACCGGTGCTGAGCGGGTGGACACGTGCTGGAGCCTCGCCGCTGCGTGTTCCTGGGCGCTTCAGCTTGATTCAGCAAGACTTAAGCCAGTTTAACTGCCCCAGTGTGTCTGCTGGAAGCTGACATCACCGACTGGGAACCAGTTAAACTAGTGGCAGCGCCCCCCCCCATGCAAGCCATTGCAAACTGGACTGTGGTGGGATCTGCTCAGGGGCTGGACCCCTCTGCCCCCTCCCATGACCTGAGAAAACCCTGCATTGGCAGGGGCTGCCCATGCTCCAGAAAATGTGCTGGTAGGACTGTGGGATCCCCTGGCCGGGATGCACGTGGTGTCGGGAGTGTGACCCTGCTCATCCAGCCCATCCCTGCATCCCACAGCAGCCAAGCTTCCCCTTTGGGGCCAGGGCTGTGGGGCTGGGGCCCAGTGCAGCCTGCGGGCATGACCAGTGTCTCCCCACTGGGCAGCGGGGCTGGATCATGCCCATCCTGGGGTCTCCCTGTGGCCAGGATCCCTCGGGGCTCACAGCCCTGGCACGTACCAGGACGAGGAGGGGATGGGAGGATGGGATGGGCAAGAGGTTGGCGGCTGCCTTGCGGCCGTTCCTGGGTGCCGGCTGAGCACGGCAGGGGCTGGGCTGGGGCAGTGATGGCTCTCGGGGCTCCCAGGCTCTTCCCGTGCAGCCCCCTCTGTCCCACCCCAGGTTTTTTTTCCCTCCCTTGCGGGCCAAGGCTGAGGCGATGCTGCTGGTGATGCTGCCGGCCTGGGCAGCTGGTCTCCATTTGGGAGGAGGCGTCCGCATTCCTGGCATAGTCGCGGTGACCGAGGAATCTGTGGCTTCGTTCGGCCCAGCCGGAGGGAAGAGCATCGCACAGCTGGGGACCCCCAGGGCTCGGTGCTGGGCTCCTGTGGGGTCCCGGGGACAGAGAGGAACAGGCCCTTGGGGGGGCAATTCCCCCTGGCCCCCACAGGCAGCTCCTCCTCATCCCCCTGGAAAGGTTCAGAAGCTGCCGTGCGTGAGGGGCGCTGGCCACCCCAACGCCCGTGTCTGACGGCAGCACCGTGCTGGTGCTCCCATTGCCATTCCCAGGCAAGGGG